TATTTTAATTTTTATATATTTTTTAATCTTCACCCAAGTATATATATTTCTTTTTATCCTCACCTGAGGACATTTTTTGCATTTGTCTTCAGACAGAGCGGGAGGGAGAGAGGAGGGAAGAGAGAGAGTGAAACATCGATGTGAGAAAGACTCATCATCGACTGCTTGCCACCCACACAACTCCAGTCGGGTCCGGGGACAAACTGCAACGAAGGTATGTGCCCTTAGCGGGAACCGAACCCAGGACTCTCCTGTCCGTGGGCCGATGCTTTAACCACTGAGCCAAACCGGCCAGGGCACCCAAGGATATTTTTTACATTAATCTTCAGATAGAGCAGGAGAGGGAGACACATCAATGGGAGAGAGACACATCAATTGATTGATACCTGACAACCCCAACTGGGGCCAGGGACAAACCTCAACCAAGATATGTGCCCTTCTTTGGAAATGAACCCCAGACTCTTGGACCGTGTGCAGAGTTTTTACTGCTGAACCATACTGGTAGGGCATGTTGATCATTTTGAATATATTGTGTCTAGATTAGATGCTGAGCTCTGTATCCTTTCCACTGCTTATCATATGTCAAAACTTCCATTGGTACCTAGTCAATATTATTCTATTTCCCTTGTGCAGTGGGTAAAGATGTCAATGATCTTAGCAGTCAGAACCTAGTTGTGTGAGTTGGTCTAATGTTCAATGTTGCCTCCCATATGTCGGAGGGGGGGAAAGGGAATGAACAAAGAAACAGACAAACACAAAAGACAGGGTATAAGACTGCAGCGCCGAGTACTGCGTCGTTTTTTGGTTTTTGTTTTTTTGTTTGTTTGTTTTTTTTTATCCTCACCCGAGGATATTTTTCCATTTTTCGTACAGATAGAGTGGGAGGGAGAGAGAGTGAGAAACATCGACGTGAAGGGACACATCGAGTGGCTGCCACCCGCACGACCAACCAGGGCCGGGGACAAACTGCAACCGAAGTACGTGCCCTTAGCGGGAACCGAACCCGGGTCTCTCCGGACCGCAGGCCGACGCTCTAACCACTGAGCCAAACTGGCCAGGGCCTGCGTCATTTTATTTTTATATTCTCTATTTACATTAGGCTAGGTCCCAAGAATTCGCTGACTTCACCCTTGTTATAATCAAACTATTCCTTAATCTGTAAGGTCAAAGAGTTCCTTGGGAGTCAACCATATCCCGTTTGTAGGCATATGTTATAGCATACTTGTTTGCAAGGTATGTGCTCTCCAAGGTTATGGGAACATTCCAGAGCTTGTTTGCAAGACATCTGGGTTCCTTCCAAGTTATCTGTGTGCAGAGTAACAAGGCTTAACTCTAAAAGACCTTACAGTTCAGCACCTTATTTTTCCCTTTATGGGATTTGTTGAATTAGTGACTGTGAGCCACAGAGGAGCTGTTCTTCTCAAGTCCGTGTTGTCCATTCTCTGAAAGTATATATGTGTAAGTATGTGTGTGTGTGTGTACATATATATATATATTTTTAATCCTTACCCAAGAATAGTTTTGCATTTATCATTAGATAGAGTGGGATGGAGGGAGAGAGAGAAAGAGAAACATTGATGTGAAAGGGACACATCTACTGGTTGCCTCCTGCATGATGAACCAGGGCCGGGGATGAACTGCAACTGAGGTACATGCCCTTGAGTGGAATCAGTCCAACCCGAGAGTCATTGATCTGTGGGGCTGACGCTCTAACCACCTAGTCAAACCATCCAGGGCCGTTCTGTGAAAATACTGAAGCATGGAATAGATTCACCTCAGTAGGTGAAGTCACTTGATCAGTATATTTCAATAGCTAACTTTTTACAAAGGTTTTTGCATTGAAGATTTCTGTTCTCTGTTATTTCCTGAGAAAAGAGGAAGGAAATGTGCCTCAGAAGCGTGGGTGATGTGAGCTGATTAAGGGGCTGTGTGGACACATTTGGAGGCACGTTCTCTGACTGGAACATAACGTCACCTGAGAAAACAACCCTGAGCTGGAGCAGGACCAAGACAAAATGGCTGCTTCTCAGGTAAAAGATGTGTTTTGGGTCAGAGGCTGTGTCTGCTTTGCCTCTCACATGGGTGGATTTAGAACCTGCAACCATTATTTCTCCCTTTTTTTTTTTTATCCTCACCCGAGGACATTTTTCCATTTTTTTTTACTTGGAGTGCGAAGGAGAGAGAGGAAGAGAGAGAAACATCGATGTGAAAGGGACACATCGAGTGGCTGCCACCCACACAACCCAACCAGGGCTGGGGACAAACTGCAGCCAAGGTACATGCCCTTAGCGGGAACCGAACCCGGGTCTCTGTGGACTGCAGGCTGACGCTCTAACCCCTGAGCCAAACCGGCCAGTGCCATTATTTCTCTATTTCTGATGTTCTTGCCTAGTGAGGTTGTTTTCCCTGACTTCTTTTATTCCTTTTTCCTTGAGATGGTCAAGGTCAGCAGATTGTATGCTTCTCCTTTGTCCCAGAGCCTGTTTTGCATTCAGTTTCTGCAGGCTCCCCCAGGTCAGGAAGCATACCTGCCTCTAATTAGTGACTTTCAATTGTTGCCCATGTCTAACATCCCTATTGGGATTGGGGCAGAGGCTCGGGTGTCAGTGAAATAGGGAAACGTAGGTTTTAGATTCAAGTGGCTATAGCACCAGCTCTGTAGATCAGGGTAAGAAAATGCACATTTACTGCTCAGAGTAACTCAAAAAGTTCTGAAAAGAGCAAGAAGAAGAGAATTGCTCAGTAGATTAGTAGGAAAGACTTACTATTAAAATGTACTATTAAGCCCTGGCCGGTTTGTCTCAGCGGTTAGAGCGTCGGCCTGCGGTCCCGAGAGACCCGGGTTCGGTTTCCGCTAAGGGCATGTACCTCGGTTGCAGTTTGTCTCCGGCCCTGGTTGGTCGTGCGGGTGGCAGCCACTCGATGTGTCCCTTTCACATCGATGTTTCTCTCTCTCTTCCTCTCTCCCCCTCCCACTCTACCTGAACAAAAAATACAAAAATGTCCTCAGGTGAGGATAAAAAAAATAAAAATTAAAAAAAAAAAAAAAATGTACTATTAATAGCCTATAGGCTGGGCTGATGTGGTTCATTGGTTAGAGCATTGGCCCGTGCACCAAGGGTCTGCAGTTCAAATTTTATTCAGGGCAGGTACCTGAGTTGTAGGTTTGATCCCTGGCCCTAAATGAAGCATGTAGGGGTCGCAAGCAGTTGATGTGTGTCTTTCACATCTATGGTTCTCTCTCTCTATCTCTTCTTCACTCCACAATGTCCTTTCCCTTTCACACTTTGTAAAAATCAATGGAAAAAATATCCTCTGGTGAAGATTAACAATAGATAAATGTAAATAAATGTACTATTAGCATACAGAATATAAGTGGTATGTGTGGATTGACATGTGCCAAAAGTTTACTTGTGATCATTTTCACAGAATAATTTTGTTATTTATTATTTTTGGCCAGTGATGTCACAGCAGTGAGGACGTGTCCTTCCTTGTGCCTCAGTCACATGATATCCACGCTCCAGTCCACCTGATACTCACTGTGTGTGGTGCTGTCTGCACTACAGAGCTAACAGTTTCCTTGTATCAGGACAGAGTTTCTAGTAGGTATTTAATCGGAGATGTTAAAAAAACCATCACATTTCATCTGCAAACTTCCCTCTTCTTAGTTTCTGTTTCCTTTGGAATATGAAGTTCCTACTTTTCTTTTTCTTTATTCATTTTTAAAGAGAGAGGAAGGGAGAGGGAGACAGAGATAGAAACATAAATGAGACAACATTGATTTGGTGCATGCCCCCCACTGGGGATTTGGCCCACAACCTGGGCCTTGCACTGACTGGGAATCAAACCAGTTGCGACTTGGTTCATAGGTCCATGCTGGACTACAGCCACACTGGCCTAGCATGAAGTCCCTCCTTTTATTTCCTAGAGATCATTGGCTTTTGAAGTGGGAGTTTAACCAATCACACCTTATTCCTGTCAATTTTCATTATGTTTTACACTCATTATCACTTTGTATTTGTAGGAAGTTTGTTAGAATCGTAATCTTAATGTATGATCAACTAAATTTCTACAATATCCCTCCACTAATAATATGTAAAAATTTTCAGAAAAGAATTCAACTAATAACAGGTTTCACATTTTCTCCATTATTATGTGAGTTCCTCTACTTACTGTGTTTATAAAACACCAAGAGTATCATTCATGTATATATTCAGAGATTTATGGAATCTCAAAATCTTGATTTTAGTGAGATGAGAATTCTGTTTTGTATCCCTTTAATACTGTACATAGTTCTCATGTGTGCTTGTCTCTGTGCATACAATTTTAACATTATTTGAGCTTTTTTTGTGTGTGATAATTATGATTTAAAAACAATATATCTATTTTATTGATTTTAGAGAGAGATAGAAACATTAATGAGAGAGAACCATTGATCGGCTGCCTCCTGCCTGCCCTCTACCGGGATTGAACCAGGAACTGTCAGTCCTTGGACCACGTTTAGGCCATTGAGCCACACCAGCTGGGCAAAGTATACAATTTTTCTTTTTCTGTACTATTCAGAAGGATGGCACATGGACTTGGAGACAATGGCATCACAGGTAAAAAGTGAACTTGTGAACCTAGGCCTCAGCTGAGAATTCCTGAATCAGAATCTGTATTTTTAGGAAAGTGCCGTTCTTGCCCTGGCTGGTTTGACTCAGCAGTTCGAAGATCAGTCCTCAGACCAAAGGGTCTCGTGATTGATTCTGGTCAAGGGTTAAGTTTAAAGTGTATTTTCCTGAAAAGTAAAGTGTATGCAGTACATATTCGAACACGTGTCATCTCCATTTCTCAGTTTTAGAAAATACAGTAGAGAATATCAATGAGTCAAAATCATCTTAACAGATAATTCCAGATACTCTCCTAGGTCAAAACCAGTTCTCCTTACACTGTTTCCGTTTTGGGTGACATTATGAACTCTGCTTGCAGTCCCTTGGTGAATGTGTTTTTCCTTCCAGGGCCCGCTGACCTTCAGGGATGTGGCCGTAGACTTCTCTCAGGAGGAGTGGGAATGCCTGGACCCCGCTCAGCAGACATTGTACCTGGATGTGATGTTGGAGAACTACAGGAACCTAGTCTCCCTGGGTGAGGATGACTTCCTTCCAGAGCTCCTCCTGCAGCTGCTGGGTGTATTTCCTTTGTTATTTCAACATCTTTTGGGGGCTTCTGCTTTGTATGGTAGCCTGTCAGAGTCTTGCTCTCAGGGAGCCAATTGGTGGTTTTCTGGTGCAGAAAGAATGGCTTTGTGATATATGTGAGTTAGGAACTTGGTGTCTGAAACTTTACATGTTGTCTAGAGTAATTAAGGTGCTATCAGGAAACAGTATTTTGGAAAATAATTTTCCATAATCTAATATTCTACCATGTCTTCTCACCTGAGGACAAACTGCACTGAAAATGGGAGCATCTCTATCAAAACTCAAATTCCATTTTCTAATAAATATGTCTTTCTGTCTCTAAGTCAGTCCTGGTCATCTTTTTGGAGCAAATTTCAGAGCATTTGGTCCATGTCTGGGGTACTTTTAGTTGGGTAGAACATCGTCCAAATACACCAAGATTGCCGGTTTGATCCCATCCAGGGCACATGCAAGAAGCAACCAGTGTTTTGCATGAATAAGTGCAACATCAAATCCATGTTTCTGTCTCTCAAATTCATAAATAAATAATATAAAACTGTATTCAGAAATCAAGAGCACTGAGATGTGAGGAGAAAAAAGATAATGTCTCTTTACCCAGGGAGGTGGGAATGAGGAAGCAGGTGACACAGGTGGTGAGAGGTCCAGAGGACCTGGAGGAAGCCAGACCTTCAGTATGGTTGGGAAACTGTGCTTCAGTGGAAGCATTTTGAGAGCCCCGGTGTATGTCTGTTGCTGTTGTAGAGCGACAGCTGCTCCCCAGCATATGAAATGCTCCCACATCCCCTCTGGACTCTGCTTCTGCTATAGGCACATTGCTGAGGAATTGTATTTTAAGCCATTATTTTTAAAATATTTTTTCTTTATTGATTTTAGAGAGAGAGCAAGGGAGAGGGAGAGACAGAGACAGAAACATCGATGAGAGAGATCATCAATTGGCCACCTGCATGCCCCCCACTGGGGATCAGGCCCACAATCTGGGCATGTGCCCTGACTGTGAATTGAACTGGCAACTTCTTGATGCATGTGTTGAGCTGAACCACTGAGCCACAGCACCCATGAGGACATTTTTCCATTTTTTATTCAGATAGAGCAGGAGGGAGAGAGAGAGAGAAACATTGACGTGAAAGAAACACATTGAGTGGATGCCACCCCCAGGGCCCAACCAGGGCCTGGGACTAAACGCAACCGAGGTCAATGCCTTTATCGGGAGCCGAACCTGGGTCTCTCCGGACCGCAGGCCAACGCTCTAACTACTAAGCCAAACTGGCCAGAGGTAGCCTGTTTTTTTTAAGTTTTCTGTTTGTGTCTTGTAAGGAGTTTATGAAGTAAGTGTTTGAGATTCTGAATTTGTTCCTCAGATCCCAGGAACACTGGGGACATGTTCTCTGGTTTATAATTTCTAATAATATTGATGTTTCTAAGATAACCCTGAAAACTTCGGACTCAATGATTTCTTCAAAGCACAGTGCACATCTTGAAATGAGAAATGCTCATTTCCTGTGTCATTCAAAACTTTGTTTTTGTGACAAAAAAATTAATATAAGAAATTTTTAGTCTGTCTTGTTCTATTTCTTTGTATTGCAATAGTTTAACATATTTTTACCTCAGAGTTTTTCAATACATTACTGATCTCAGAGCATCAGCCATTTGCAGGAAAGTCTCTGTTGTTGGCCGATTTCTTCATCACTCTCATCTCTTAATTCTCTCTTATTCAGGTCAAAGCTACCTGGACTGTGTGCTGTGTGTTTATACTTTCTAATCAGATATTTTCCACATTTGTGGTTGCATATTCACTAGTGCTGATACAACATAATGCAATGTGCTGCTTTGGTAAGAAGTGAGTTACAGAATAATCAGGCACTTCATATGTAGGAAAGGGTTTAGTTTCTCATTTTAAGTTTACTACAGGCAAAAGCAATGATGAGGTTTTTCATTTGCTTTTCTCAGCACAACTTTTTTTTCCATTTTTTCTTTTTTTAATTTTTATTGATTTATTTATATATTTACTTACCTTTATTGTTGAATGTATTACAAGATGTTCTTCATTTTTCCTCCATTGACCCCCTCCTCCCCACTCCCACCCCCCTCCCACCTATTGCCATAGTGTTGTCTGTGTGCTTTGGTTATGCATATATGCATATAAGTTCTTTGGTCTCTTTCTTCCCACCTCCCCAAACTGCTGTCTCTTTGAGGTTTGTCGGTCTAGCAACCCTAGCAACCAATTTGTTCTTCTTAATCCTTTCACCTTTTTCACCCATTCCCCAAACCCCCTCTCATCTGGCAACCAAGAAAATGTTCTCTGTATCTATGAGAATGTTTCTATTCTGCCTGTTCATTTTGATTGTAGGTTCAGTTGTCGATAGATACGTATTCATTGCCATTTTGTTTGTTCATATAGTTTATCTTTTTCTTCAAAAAGACCCTTCAGCATTTCATATAATAATGGTTTGGTGGTGATGAACTCCTTTAACTTTTTCTTGTCTGGGAAAGTCTTTATATGGCCATCGATTCTAAATGACAGCTTTGCAGGATAGAGTAATCTTGGTTGTAAGTTCTTGCTTTTCATCACTCTGAATATTTCTTGCCACTCCCTTCTGGCCTGCAAAGTTTCTTTTGAGAAATCAGCTGACAGTCTTATTGGAACACACTTGTAGGTAACTAACTGCTTTTCTCTTGCTGCTTGTAAGATTCTCTCCTTGTCTTGAACCTTTTGCATTTTGATGATGATGTGTCTTGGTGTGGGCCTCTTGGAGTTCATCTTGTTTGGGACTCTCTGTGCTTCTTGGACTTGTATGTCTGTTTCCTTCACCAAGTTAGGGAAGTTTTCTGCCATTATTGTTTCAAATAAGTTTTTGATTACTTGTTCTCCCTCTTCTCCTTCTGGCACCCCCAAGATGCAAATGTTGTCACGCTTGAAGTTGTCCCAGAGGCTCCTTACACTATCCTCATTTTTTTTGGATTTTTTTTTTTTTTTTGCTTTTCTGATTGGGCGGTTGTTGCTTACTTATATTTCAAATCGATGGTTTGCTTCTTGGCTTTACCTACTCTACTATTGAATCTGTGTAAATTATTCTTTATTGCAGTTAGTGCCTCCTTTGTTTCTGACTGGTCCTTTTTTATGCTCTTGAGGCCCACACTAAGTTCGCTGAGGCCCTCACTAAGTTCATTGAGCATCCTTATAAGCAGTATTTTGAACTCAGCATCTGTTAGGTTCCTTATCTCCATTTCGCTTAGTTCTTTTCCTGGAGATTTTTTCTGTTCTTTCATTTGGGACCTGTTTCTTTGTCTCCTCATTTTGGCTGCCTCCCTGTGTTTGTTTCTATGTATTAGTTAAGAAGAGATATGGGGCTAGCTGAGACCAGATGGTGCTTGTTTGAAAGAAATTTAGGAAAACCTGAGACAGGATCCGAAACAGGCCAATCCTATGGTTAAACAACTGCCAACAGCTTGGGTGGGCCTGAAAGTTGGGTGGGGCAGGCGGAGCCTCAGGGACACAGCAGGGCGGGGCTACCAGTGTGAGCCAGGTTGCTGGAGTTCCAGATATGGCGACTGTCTACCGCCCAAGGGAAGTGCTCACCAAAGGAACAAAGCTCTCTGCCAGCACGTTTGTCCTGGAGAAACCCCCCTCTCCAGCCCTCGCTCAAATGCCAAACAGCTGTTCTTCCCTGTATGTCTCTGGTGCCCCTCAAGCTGCCTCCCCTTCAAGCTGAGAGGGAGTGAGTCTGATAAGTCCATGTACCGGCCCTTTAAGAATAGCTGCCTTGGGCTCCAGCCACCTCAGTCTCCCTGAGCCTCAGTTCACGCTGGTTTTTCCAGCCAGAAATTATGGGGACTTGTTTGTCTTCCTGACACTGGAACCCTGAGTGTGGTACATGGTGTGGGACGGGGACCCCTCAGTCCTCAGAGAGGACCTTCCCAGCCGAGGTGTCCTCCTAATTTTTATCCGCCACACATGGGTGTCGGACCAGCCCGTTCCCCTCCACCCCTCCTAACAGTCTCAATGTGCCAGCTTCATTAACTTCGTAGTTGTAGGATTTCCATTCAGCTTGATTTCAGGCAGTTTTTCTATGCTCTTGTTTTAAGTTAAAGAACTCCCTTGAGTATTTCCTGCAATGAAGGTTTTCTGGTTGTAAAATTCCTCAGCTTCTGTATATCTGGCAAAATATTTCTCCTTCATATTTAAAGGATAACTTTGCTGGGTATATTATTCTTGGCTGATAATATCACTTTTTCAGTCATTTGAATATTTGGTTCTACTCTTTTCTGGTTTGTAGAGATTCTGTAGAGAAGTCGGAGGACATTCTGATGAGTTTTCCTTTGTAGGTCACTTCCTTGTTCCTGGTTGCTTTGAGAATTTTTTCTTGGTCATTAACTTTTGACAGTGTTAGTACAATGTGCTTTTCTGAGGGTCTTTTTGTATTGAGGTAATGAGGTGTTATGTTTGCTTTTTGGATTTGGCCATGTAGTTCTATCCACAGGTTTGGGAAGTTCTCATCACTGCTTGTTTGAATAGGCTCTCCATTCCCTTCTATCTTTCGTCTTCCTCTTGGTATGTCAGTAGTTCTTGTTGGTTTTTCTGATGTAATCAAACAGTTTCTGTAGAGCTGGTTCATTTATTTTTAATGTTTTTATTGATTTTTTTTAGAGAGAGAGACTTTGATCTGCTGAGTACCATGAATGTGAAACTTTATTTCATATCTTTCAGCTATCTTATCTGAGGACAACCAGTCCTTTCTGCAAAACTCAAATCTGGAAGATTTATTCCCTGAAATAATACTGGTAAGAAATGGAAGGTATGGCTTTTATAATGTACACTTAGTGAGAGCCTTGGGATTTGAGGAAGAGTGTATGATGATAAGGTGTGATAATATGTACAGAAGTAACCTGGGACTGTTGTTTATAATAAAATTCTTGTTACCTAAAGAAGTCACAGATATTACACATTTGGGGATGCCCCCAGTTTAGGTCAGTTACATCTGCAGATCAGTGTGTTTCTAAATGTGATGACCAAAAGCAATATTTGTCGAGTATTAGATCAGAAATCTGGAAAATCTAGAACTCCCATCATCGATGCTGCAAAGAATAAGAATAGTTTACAGTGTTGTGTGGGATTAAACTTTCAGTCAGTCATTTCTGAACTTTAGTAATTTATAATGCACATATGAAATTTCAATGTGATGAGTTTAGTAATTCCTTTAATAAGGAATCATTATACTACTATTGAGGAATAATTGTTTTTTGAATCAAACTTCTGTTATTTTATTAAATGTAGGAGTTTTTTATATGCCATCAGGTTTAATATGCATTACAGAAACGTTATTTGAGAATAAGTATACATATTTAAGGAAATTATAGCTGTCACTAAAGGCCTTTCTGTCTTCAATGAATACCAGAGTGTATATAATGAAGAAAGAAGTTTTCAATGCAACGCACATGGGAAAAATTTTAACCAAGAGTCAAATCCTAATAAATGTCAGAAAAGTCACCTTCCAGAGAACCATTATAAGGATGGAAAAGTCTTTGACCAAAAGTCAAATCCAAATATACATCAGGGTATTCATACAGTGGAAAAGACAAACAAACGAAGTAAATGTGACAAGTCGTTGCAGCAATATTCACATCACACTGAATGGCAGAATATTCATACCAGGGAGAGAGGCTACCAAGGTAATCCGTGCTGGAGGGTCTTCAGTCCAACGTTTAGTCTAAATAGATTTACGGAAAGCCATATAAAAGAAAAACTTTATAAATGTCATAAATGTGGTAAAATATTTAATTCCTTTAGATATATTCGTGTACATGACAGAACTCATACGGGGGAGAAGCCGTATAAATGTAGAGAATGTGGCAAAGCTTTTAGAGAGTCCTCATACCTTCATGTCCATAATAAAATTCATACTGGAGAGAAGCCTCATAAATGCAAAGAATGTTGCAAATCCTTTGGGTGCTCTTCAAACCTTCATCGCCATCAGAGAATTCATACCGGAGAGAAGCCTTACCAATGTAGTAAATGTGGCAAAGCTTTTACGTGCTCCTCAGTCCTTAATCAGCATCAGAGAATTCACACAGGGGAGAAACCATACAAATGTAGTAAATGTGGTAAAGCCTTTAGGCATTCCTCAACCCTTATTAGACATCATAGAGTTCATACTGGAGAGAAGCCTTATCATTGTGTTGAATGTGGCAAAGCATTTAGGAATTCCTCACTCCTTACTGCACATCAGAGAATTCATAGTGGACAGAACCCTCATAAATGCAGTGAATGTTGCAGAGGCTTTGTGAGGTCTTCACACCTTAATTGCCATCAGAAAATGCATACTGGAGAGAAACCTTTCCAATGTGGTAAATGTGGCAGAGCTTTTCAGTGCTCCTCATACGTTAATCAGCATCAGATCATTCACACGGAGGAGAAACCATACAAATGTAAAGAATGTGGCAAAGCCTTTAGCCAGTCTTCAAACCTTACTGCACATCAGAGAATTCATACAGCAGAGAAGCCTCATAAATGCAATGAATGTGGCAAAGCCTTTGGGAGGTCTTCAAACCTTAGTCGCCATCAGAAAATTCATAGTGGAGAGAAGCCTCATAAATGCAATGAATGTGGCAAAGCCTTTGGGAGGTCTTCACAACTTAATCGCCATCAGACAATCCATATTGGAGAGAAGCCTCATAAATGCAATGAATGTGGCAAAGCCTTTAAGAGGTCTTCAAACCTTAATCGCCATAAGAAAATTCATACTGGAGAGAAGCCTCATAAATGCAAAGAATGTGGCAAATCCTTTGGGAGGTCTTCACACCTTAATCTACATCAGAAAATTCATACTGGAGAGAAGCCTCATAAATGCAAAGAATGTGGCAATGCCTTTCGGAGGTCTTCAAACCTTTATCGCCATCAGAGAATTCATACTGTAGAAAAACCTTACCAATGTGGTAAATGAGGCAAAGCTTTTAGGTGCTGCTCAGACGTTAATCAGCATCAGATAATTCACATGTAGGGCAAACTGTACAAAGGTAAAGAATGTGGCAAGGCCTTTAGGCATTTCTCAAACCTTAATGAACATCGTGATGTTCATAGTGGAGAGAGGCCATATCATTGTATTGAATGTGGCAAAGCCTTTAGGCAATCCTTACACCTTAGTGCAACTGAGAGAAATCATCGTGGAGATAATCCTTATGAATGTAGATAATGTGACAGAGCCTTTAATGAGTGTTCAAATCGTTAGGGACATTAGAAAAGTTCATACTGGAGATAAATTTTACAGACGTAAGGAGTGTAGTAAAGTCTTTTACGGGCACACAAAATATATACTGGAGAGAAGCCTTAGGAATGAGTACAATATTGCAAATCTTATGAACACCATTCATGTCTCATTGTTATTTGACACAGTTCATACTGGAGAGAGACATAGATGTCAGAATGTGCTAAAGCCTCTCATTGGCAGTGGAATCTTACCACACATAAGGTAATTCATTCTAGAGAGAAGTCTTACAAGTGTCAAAAATGTAGCAAAGCCTTTATCGGCCCCTCAGACGTTACTAAACACCAAAGAATTCACTGTAATGCACATGTTACAAATGTACATAATGTGGCAAAGCCTTTAATCACTCTTCATAATTTACTCATCATTAGATCATTCCTAGTGGCGAAATACTGTATACAGATTTAAGTATTTTGGAAAAACTTTGTTTTTTCATATATACCTTAGTAATCATCAAATAGCTCATTCTTGACAGGATCCTTATACATGTGGAAAATGTGGCCAAACTTTTATAAGTGATACCCTACATGACAGGAGACAAATTGTAGTGGAGAGGTCTTTCATGTGTAAATCATGTGTCAAAGCTTTTAAATGACATTCATGCCTTACTCTATGTGAGAAAATAATATATACTGGGAGGAACTTTACAAATGCTCTACCACATCGATGTTGCTCTCTGTCTCTTTCTTGCAAACATTTGTGCAGCAAACATTTGAACATAGAACGCAAATATCAATGGACATAAAGGGAGAATTGACCTTGTGTTATTTGTATTCTTTGCTTTCTGTTATTGGAGTCAAATATTTGTCAAATATTAAGGATACGAGACCCTTACAAGATCTGTGATTTGCAATTATTTTCTCCCATTTGATGAATTGTCTTTTTACTTTTGTGATAATGTCCTTGGTAGCCAAAAGTATACATTTTGATGAGGATTAATTTATCTTACTTCATCTTTGCGTTTTCTATTGTTGTCATATCTAAAAATCTGTTGACAAATTGAAGGTCATGAAGATTTAATCCTATGTTTTAATCGAAGAGATTTGTCTGTTAAGTTATTACATTTAGCTCCTGTGTAGCTTATTATGCCTTGTCTAAATTGTTACCATATTTATTTAAAACACTTTCTGACTGAGGGTCCCTAACTAAAGACCACTGTTTTTTTTGAGATAGACGTGCACTGAATGAAAAATAGTCACTGGTAAAAAATCCGATTCAGCCCTGGCCTGTTTGGCTCAGCATCGGCCTGTGGTCCCAAGAGACCCAGGTTCAGTTCCCGCTAAGGTCATGTACCTCGGTTGCATTTTGTCCCCGGACCTGGTTGGCCGTGCGGTGGCAGCCACTCGATGTACCCCTCTCACGTCGATGTTTCTGTCTTTCTCTCTGTTCGTCTCTCTCCCTCCCACTTTACCTGAACAAAGAATGGAAAAATGTCCTCGGGTGAGGATTTAAAAAATTGGATTCATTATACATTTATAGTTTTTAAAATCGTTGAATACCTTAGGGTGACATTGGTTAATAAAATTATGTGAGTTTCAAGTGTACTATTGTAAGTGACATTGTCGCAATATTGTACTGTGTGTTTACCATGAGAAGTCAAGTGTCTTTTCATTCACATTTATCTTCCCCTTACCCTTTTCTGCGTGCCCACACCCCAAGTTACCTCTGGTAATTACCTGTATACTGTCTGTGCCTATAAGGGGATTTGTTGTTGTTATTTTTACTTTTTCTCTTTAATACACATTTTAATCCAAATTAATTAAAGAAACACTTCTCTATCACTTAGTTTTAACTCTGAACTTTTCATTTTATTACAAATGGTAAATATTTTATGAGTTTGAAAATTCCTGACCTTTTCCTTTAATCTGAAACACTTTGATAGAATCAGGAAAAGAATGCTTCTTCCTTTGGTCTTTCTATGGAGTATTAGGCCTTTGTGCACATTAACGCATCGCTGCATACATTGTTTCTATAACCTGGTTTATATGGTGGTGCAGGGGCGTCCAGATGGGCCCTTACACAGGCCTTACAGAACACTTTGCTGATGGTGCAGAATCTAGTGCCCATCTCTATGTCCCATCCTTTCCCAGGATGATCATCTCAGAAGAATGTCTTTCTGAGTTTCATGTAACTGCCTCATGCAGAGACATGTGGTGAGGATGTTTATTTCCTTATGTGAAAAATAAAAGGAAACGGTGCTGGTTTTCTAATTTTCAGTAGTATCATTTATACCCTTGATTTTTAACTTGAAATGTGCAAGTTAATGTCTAATATTCTGTTTGCTGTATATAATCTGAAGATGGTCCTGAAAGGTGTTGGATCAACCAGAGCATATCTATACACACATACAAAATTGTTTTAAATAATTTTTTTCCTTTTATTGATTTTAGAGAGAGAGGGAGAGAAAGATAGAAACATCGATGAGAAAGAACATCGACTGGCCGCTTCCTGCATGCTCCCCACTGGGGATTAAGCCCACAACCTGGGCATGTGCCCTGACCAGGAATCGAAATGGTGACCTCTTGGTGCACTGGTCGAAGCTCAATCACTGAGCCATACCCACCGGGCCACACATAAAAATTCCAAAAATGTTTTTTCTAAGAAGGGACAGCCTCTTTTGAGATTTAATTCAAGTTTTTTTTTTTTTTTTTTTTTATCCTCACCGGAGGACATTTTTCCAATTTTTGTTTAGGTAGAGTGGGAGGGAGAGAGAGGAACAGAGAGAGAGAGAAACATTGATGTGAAAGGAACACATCGAGTGGCTGCCACCCGCACAACCGACCAGGGCCGGGGACAAACTGCAACCGAGGTACATGCCCTTAGCGGGAACCGAACCCGGGTCTCTCAGGACCGCAGGCCGACACTCTAACCGCTGAGCCAAACCAGCCAGGGCGAGACTTAATTCAAGTTTTGATATTTCAAAGTGCTTACCTAATACTGCAGTGAGGTTTTGTTTTATTTTTATTAAGTTGGTTTTCTTTATTGATTTTTTTTAGAGAGGGAGGAAGGGAGAAGGAGAGATGGGAAATTTGATGAGAGAGAACATTGACTGATCACCTCCTGCATGGCACCCACTGGGGATTGGGCCCACAATCAGGGCATGTGCCCTGAGGGTGAATCGAACCGGTGACCTCTTGGTGAACGGGTCGATGCTTTACCACTGAGCCACACTGGCTGGGCGGTGTTGAAACTTGTGACGTGAAAATGTACATAAGGTCCCCTTGCCAGTTTGGCTCAACAATCAGAGAGTCGTCCTGAGGACCAATGAATTGTAGGTTTGATTCTGGTCAAAGTCTGCTACCTTAGATGTGGTTTGTCCCCGGCTTTGGTCGGGATTGTTTATGAGGAAGCCTGTTGATGTATCTCTCTCACAATGATGTTTCTCTCTCTCTTCTTCTCACCCTCTCTCTCTATCTGAGATAAGTAGAAAAATATCCTTGGGTGAGGATTTAAAAAACATAAGATGATAATAGGGACAAAATAGGAGCTCCATAAACAGGAATAAAAGCGTTTTTTTAGGTGTATGGTTCAATGAAAGAACTAGAATGACACAAGTTTGGGATCTGAAGTCTTTCCATGTGTGAGCCTGCTATGGTCAGGTCCTTGAAAGTCAAGTGTGAGGAGGTCAATCAGCACACAATGAAGTAAATGGAAATAGAGTGATGAAGGAAATACGGGTTCTCCAAGAATGCGGGTGTATTTTATAACAAGGAGGCAGTCTCTATTGCCAGGTACTGGGTGCTGTTCTGCCATTTCTTCCTGACTAGCATTCATATTAAGAGCCAACGTATTTAGCAGGGGAAGTGAGGTTTTGGCACTGTTGATGTGGGAGCTGACACCCAATGTCTTCTTCAAAATTCTTCCCATCCCCAAATAAATACATGTTTTGTTCATCAATGATGTTAAGTTTTCAACTGCACATGATATCCTATGACAATGGTCCTCACTTCAAAAGTGAAAGAACTTATTTGCTGGCATTTAAAGAATAACTGGGATTCGTTTCTGACTTCTAAAACTTACTACTGGGAGATAATGTGAGGGTCAGTATGATGTTAAAACCCCAACCCCTGGCAAAGTCTAAATGAAGGACATGGCCCTAATGTCCTTTTTGATTAAAAAAATATATATACTGTTAATTAATACATTTACTTTTAGAGAGGCAGAAGGGGGAGAGAGAATGAAAGAGAGGGAAATATTGATTGATGGCTTCCTGCACTCACCCTACTGGGGATCAAGCCTGCAGTCTTGACATGTGCCCTGAACAGGACTCAAACTGGCAACCTTATTGTGCACTGGAGATGCCAAGCCAACTGAGCCACACTGGTCAGGGCCTTAATATCCTTTGAAGTAAGCTTCCAGTTTATTCAAATGGCTCCCCTGAAGTTGCTGCTATGAAAATGATGTCTTAGTGACCAGAAACCATACTTGTTGCTGCTCTTACAAGGCCTGAGAATCAGAAGGACCCTAAAATATATTTACAGATTAAAAAGGGTGGGTGTAGCAAATGGAAAAGAAGATCTTTGGTGCTACACCAAGTGCTATTTTTAAAATGTACTGTTTGGACTTCTATGGACTTGTTCCATAAAAAAATCACTGTGACCTGGGAGATTTAACAATAATTATTGGAAGTAGGAAATATTTCTTAGTAGAAAGTTCTAAGCCTGTGAGGTGTGGCGTAGTGGATTGAACATGTTCACATGGACCGAGAGGTCCTGGTTCTATTCCTGGTCAGGGCACATGCCCAGGTTGCGTTCGGGAGGCAACCCATTCATATTTCTCTTTAAGTAAATAAATAAATAAAAACATTTATTTTTTTTATTTATACCTCACCTCAGGATATTTTTCTGCTCTTGTTCAGAGAGAATGGGAGGGAGAGTGAGAGAAACATCCACGTGAGAGGGAGAGGGACACATGAAGTGGTTGCCTCCCACGCTGTACTGGCCTGCTCATATAACCTCGTCCTGATTAAATAATACAAAAGGCTGACTGTGGATCTTTCAGAGGCAAACTGAGGAAGTACCAACTGGCCTGGTACTCCTCTAAACAAATTTGTCCTCCAAGCGAATTTCTTAATTTTTAGAACTTAGAAAATGGAATGACTTGCAGGACAACGCTGATCATAGATGGGTGCTGACGCAGCTCCCTCCCGCCTCATCTCTCTCCTCCTTAACGCTGTCTCCTCTTCTGTATTTGCCTGCTTGCTTTCCTTCTAGGCCAACAAGAAATGACAGTTGCAGAAATTTGTAACAAGCCCCCTATAATATAAAAATGTAGCTGAAAGTCGGGGCTGATCTTTGAGATCTTGGGATCAGTCGCTGGCCGGCTTTGCTCTCTATTTGGCTTTAACTTGGCTCTGGTGGTGTCTCAATTCTCTTGTCCCACAACATTTAGAGGCCCCAGCAAGATTCTTACCTTATGGGGAAGCCCCAATCCAGACCACTAGACCGGCTATCGAAACTGCAAGGGGCGGGCTAGTCTAGGGGAAGGCCTCAGAGGACTATTCCTCTGCCTGGAGATTAAGGCCTGCCCTCCCAGTTTTCCTAGCCCGGTCTCAAATTCTGCTCTAAATTGAATTCTGAAGAGAGAGCTTGTGGACTCATTTAGAGTTATCTGGAATCTCACCAGTGAGTACTGTTTTCTGTTCAATCTAGTAGGCGCCTTTCAGTGGCAAGGAGGAAGCTGACATGGCATTACTTCCCCAACCAGGTTCCCTAGGGAGACGTAGCAGGGAACTTAATTAGGTCCCCTAGCAAAACAACACAGGGAACTTCCATTTCAGTCTGTGTATTTTGGTTGATCTTTGGTTTTAGTTCTGTCTGTG